CAGTCAACATGCTTTATTTCCTGGGGCCCAGTGTTCCAGTTTTTAGTGACTAAAAAGCTGCTCCTAGAAAAAATAAACCTGAAAGTGATGGGTTGTTTTGTTTTGCTTTTTAAGATTTTATTTATTCATTTGACAGAGAACATAAGCACAAGCAGGGTTCTGGGATTATGACCTGCATCCAGACTCCCAGCTCAGGGCAGGAAGCTTGCATCTACCTGTCTCTGACCCTCCCCCCGCCACTCCTGCTCTCTAATAATAAAATCTTTAAAAAAATAAAAAGCTTTGATGCATACTTTATATTACATTTTAAGTTCAATGAGATTTAGCAAATGTATAGTCTTGTAACCCTATTATGATATGTGCTTAAGGTCTAGAACATTGAAAATTATTTAAGTCACAGAAATAAATTAAAGTAGGTCTGTTTTACTACAGTCAGGCATGCCTAGAACTTTAAAATATCTTTAATTAAAACTTGAGGCTGGGCAGCCCGGGTGGCTCAGTGGTTTAGCGCTGCCTTCAGCCCAGGGTGTAATACTGGAGACCCAGGATCGAGTCCCATGTCAGGCTCCGTGCATGGAGCCTGCTTCTCCCTCTGCCTGTGTCTCTGCCCCTCTCTCTCTGTGTGTTTCTCATGAATAAATAAAAATCTTTAAAAAAAAAAAAAAAACACTCGAGGCTGTTTTCAGAAGTCACATTAAGGAACGTGATGGTTGAAAAATCAAAGCACCAGAAGAACAGAAAGCCACTAAAACCCACAGAGACTAAGATCTAGTCCTAAACTAAAGGCCAAAGTATATTAACTTATAAGAAGACTGTGTCAAGTACTAAGGAAATAGCAAATAAAAGAACAAGAATTTGGGGATCCCTGGGTGGCTCAGTGGTTTGGTGCTTGCCTTGGGCCCAGGGTATGGTCCTGGAGTCCCAGGATCGAGTACCACATCGGGCTCCCTGCATGGGGCCTGCTTCTCCCTCTGCCTATGTCTCTGCCTCTCAGTGTGTCTCTCATGAATAAATAAATAAAATCTTAAAAAAAAAGAAAAGAAAAGAGGGCCAACATCTGGGTTAAAGGCCACATTACCAGCAATAAGGCTTCAAAAGCCACACTGCAGGATGGTCCAGTAAAGATTCTATTGCTATCGCCTCCATTACTAGAGAAAGGTATTACATGCAGCTGGCATGGCTGACTCCATGACACTGGACAGAAGCCACTGCTGGCACTGTTACCACCCTGCCTATCACAGAATGAATTCTTTGCTGCCCTTTCTCAAATTTCAAGTCAGAGTTTAGGATGCATGCTTCTATTGGTGGAGCCTAGGTCAAGATCCCATAATTCTAGTTGCAATGAAAATAAGGCAGAATGTGGGTGAAGTCTAAAGAGGTAGATGAAGGTCAAATTACAGAGGTCCCATTGGCTGAAGTCTAGAACATATAGCAGTAGTAGTTGAAGGACAAATATCAAAATGTAAAACTACTGGGGCATCTTGGTGGCTCAGTAGTTGAGCATCTGCCTTTGGCTCAGGTTGTGACCCCAGGGTCCCTGGATCAAGTCCCACATCAGGCTTCTCCCTCTGCCTATGTCTCTGCTTCTCTGTGTCTCAAATAAATAAATAAATAAATAAATAAATAAATAAATAAAATCTTATTTAAAAAATGTAAAACTATAAAATGAAAGTGTATTACAAAAATGTATCTACTACAAGTCTGAGATTTCGTTAGTTATTATAGGTTCAGGCTGTTTTAATAGTATGAAACTTTAATGCTAACTTAAAGAAATACAAAATGAATAATATGGCAAATTAGCAAAGATAGTATATGAATGACAAGACTAAGAAGCATGGATGCATGCATAAGAAAGCCATGGAAAGACACAGCAAAGGAGAAGTGGTCTTAGAAAGCTCATTCTGGTGGCAGTGAAGATGTGAACCAAGAAAGGTAAGAATGGGATAAAAGATACCAATGGAAAGTTATAGTCAAGTGTAAGTGGGATAGAACTATAGCAGCACCATTATGGTGAAGGACTCTAATGGGTGACAGCATGAAACAGACAATGGGAAGACAGCAAGAGAAACAGATTTGAGGGAGAAGATAATGAATTTTGTTTTGAACAGGTGGAGTTTGAGACATCTGTGAGACAAAGTTGGAGGAACACTGGGGTCCAACATTTAAGGGTTGGGAAGAAGAGGAAGATCCCACAAGGGAGTCCAGGAAGGAATGTAGGGAAGAGACTCAAAAGAGTCTTTGCTAACAGTATTTCCAGAATAAAGTGGTCAGTTGTACAATAAAGAGGTCCAGCAAAATAAAGGTTGACAGATCAGTGGGCTTGCTCAAGGTAGTCTCGGTGGAACAGCAGGGTGGAAGCCAGGCTGAAGGATCACGATCATACAACTAAACTTTACAAATGCTAATATTCTCTACGAGTCACCAAAAGCAAGCACACACTCCTGAACTCACACATCAATCCATACCAAATGAACAATTTTCAGACCGCGGATGTTAAACTACCTCAGGCCCTCTATCAGTTCTTCCTGAAGCAGACCAGATTCTGGGGCTCAATCAAAGAGATTCCTATTCTGCCATCTGATGGCACACCAAATGGAACAGGAAGAGCAAACGTCTCTGGCCTCATTGAGAGGAACCAGAGTAGCTCTCATGTGGCTTCCGACTCCAGGACTCTGGGCCTGGTCACAGTGGCAGTTAATTTAGATAGTTGCTTCAGTGGCTGGCACCTCTTTTCAGGACCCCAGTTGAGTCAAATTACCTAATTACAATGATAAAGGCCTCAAACTGTTATTCTCTGTTTATAGCTATCTTCCCCCCCACCCCAACACTCCAAAACTTCTGAAGAAAAAAAGAGGCAAATGAGCATGGCTGTCAGCTACCCAGAATCAAAGCAGAGCCACTGCCTCTTCATCTCTCCCAGGCTCTCTGCACATACTCAAATAAGGGGTTACCTGAGAGAGGAACCACCGAGTGTCCTGACTAAACTCAGGGAAAAACCAAATCCAGACACTAAGTCAAATCCATTCATTCAAGAAACTGGAAGTTTGACCAATTCCATGGCAACATCAGCAGCCTGTGACATCAGAGCTGAAGGCAAGGAACAAAGGCATTTGTGAAAGTTACCTTTCCGTGGGTCTTCTCTCCCTTGAAATTTGACCCATGCTGCTTATTTGGAAGTGCCTAGTACTTTAGTACTGTTTCACAATAGAGCAATTGAAACTTCTCTTGGTACTTTTCTCCAACATATTTTTGGAGATTAGCCAAAACCACATGCCGCAAATCTGCTGAGTGCCACAATCTTATTAATATGCAATGAGATTCTATTTTGGGCTGCTGGTGATACTGGCCTACCAGTGAGCTACAGGGTAAGGATATAAATTCTAAAACTACAAATATCTGAAAAAATTAAAGAGAAGACCAAATAAACTGCAGCTTCCCCATCACTTTAGGTTGAGAGTTTATAGAGGAGGTATTTGAGGGAGTAGTATTTAAAGGGAGAAAGGGTTGGAGTGGAAAAATACTGCGAGCTAGGACAGGAAAGGTCTACAAAGCATGAGTAAGGGAAGCTGCCACAAAGGTGTCCCTCCCCCTCATTCAGCAGCCTCAGCTGAATCTTATAAACGTGTCCTGTATAAGAGGCTGAAATTGAGTATCGAGCAGGCAATTCAAGCAAGGCCAGGCCCAGTTCATCAGATGGACTGCAGAGCTTTATCCAGTATTAAGAAATAGTGATTACCAGAGATTGTCGTCTTCCGATGTAAAATGATGCCTTTTAAAAAGGCTGAATGCATACCGCTGACTTAAAGGGACAGTATCCTCAATTATACGCAGGAACAGAAACTTCTTCCCATTAGGTAACTGATGACACAATAAAACTAAATTTTCATTTATCTTTCATCTCTGGTGGTGAATCTGGAGAGTTATTAAAATGATTAAGAGACCCTACTGTCATTATTTAACAGAGAAAAGTTTTAAATATTCAACCATAGACACCATACCTAGATGTAGCCAGAGGTATAAGACGTATACCTCACTCAAGGTGGCTTTGGTGACTTCATTATTCCTGAGTTTTAGGAGGAAATGATCCACCTCTGGAATGGACTCAGTGATCAGCAGAGGAGATTTCAAAGCAAGAGTGGGGAGGGAATTTGTAATTCACCTACATTCCCCATTGCTATCTCCAGGACCTACAGCTCCCTGCCTTTTGCGCTTACACCTTCAGAAAAGATCTGTGAATTGTCCTAATATGAATGGAGGAAATGGCTTTAAACACCAGCTAGAAACATTAAGGTCAAATAAATAACCTGAATCAATAACAGTTGGAATTTGGTGCCCTCTTACCAAAAGAAGGGTTCCCTATTACCATATGCATGGCATTTATCTTTGGGTCAGGTTCTGTAGGTTTAGACAAGAATGAAACTTTACTGCAGTTCACTGGGGCGCTTGTGAAAATGCACACGTCTAAGTCTCACCACAGAGCCAATAAACCAGACTATTTCATGGAGGAGCCTAGGAACCTGTTTTTAACAAGTAATCCAAGTGATTTTCATAATCAGAGAAGTTTGAGAAACTGATCTAAGGCTCTGACTACAGTAATATAGAGTTATTCATCCTAAGGAGGAAAGGAAGGATATGAACAGAGGAAACTAGCTAGACTGATGAATCAGAAGCCCTTCCTGAGTTCAGAGAGCTAGAATTTGAGAGAGAAAGGCTGATGGAGCAGTTAGAGTTGGAGCTAGCTAGCATTCTTCACACTGCTTTGCAGTCACTAAGCTTGCTCCAGCTGCGGCCTCACTCCACCTCCTTGCCTTCCACAGTTACTCTATAGGCAACAAGACTTTGCCTGAAGACTCTCAGATCTTAAACAGCAGATGGAATCCAAAGGAGGATGAGAGGCTTCCCAAGTACAAACAGAGAGTGTGCAGTCCCTGGATAGGAGATGAGACTCTGAACTGGTCTGTAAACGGCTATCACAGACATCTGAAAATCCAACCACTTACCCAAATTGGAGAGTCTTTTCATCAAGCCAGCTTCTCTTATAGCAGCAGGACCATATTCCACACCCTTTCTTTTCTGTCACATAAATTACACGGTTAGATGTGAGGGAAGAGGGTTAAAAACAAGACCACTTTATTTCACAAAAATACAGAAATCTGCTATTCTGTACCTAGTTCCCAAACAGATCCTTCTGGAAACCTGTGACAGCAAGCATCAGCCTTTCCTTTTATTATTTTCACCTGAGGTCGGTTCATTTCAAACACTCGCAGGAAGAAAGCCCGAAAAACAGCAATTACTGGGACCAAACCAACCTCCAAGCCCGTGGCTGTGGGATGCACAAATGGAAGCCGAGACGGGGGAGGGGCTGAGCCAGGTCTGGACCTAGAGAGCCCGGGCTCCCCGCGCAGGCAGCTCTGCACGGCTGCAGGTTGCATCCATTGAAGAGAACAAAACAGCCGCTCCCATCCTCCCGCCGCTGGAGACGGCAGCGCCGATGTCCCCGCCAATGCATGGTTTCTAAGAATGGACCCCGAAGCCTTCAATCTTCGGTCGCTCTCTGTGACCTCTTCTCTCTCGACTTTGCACCAGGCACTCGGGCTGGCTGCTGCCCCTCCAGCCCCTCCCTGAGATCCCGTCCCCCCTTCTCCCCCAGCACCCCAGGCGGGACCCACCACTTCCTCCCTCCTCGGGGGAGGCCGCCTGCCCGCCGCGCGAGTACCATGCCCTCCTCCTCCTTCCACACCTGCCAGGGAAAACCCCACGTGCTCTCCCGGAGCCCAACTGTGGGAACTCACCACCTCATCCCCCTCTCCTCCTCCGCGTCCGTCACCCCACCCCCGCTTCCCCCAGGTTCTACCCCACGGTGCCAGGTCCAGGTTCCCACCTGTCCCTGCGAGAACGGGGCCCCGATCACAGCCACCGAGTGAACGGACTTCTTCAGGACGGCGTGCGCTCGCGTCCGCAGGAGACGCGAGAGGCTGCTCCCCAGCGACATGACCGGCAGCGCGGGAGCGAGCAGAGCAAGGAGCGGCTCGGCGCGGCCCGGCGCCTCGCTCACCTACCCCGGCGCCCGCGGCTCCGCCCCGCCCCGCGACGTCACCGCCCGGCCCCGCCCCCGGCCCCCGGCCCCCAACCGGCCCCCGACACACCTTCCCGCAGACCCCGCCCACCGCTCCTGGCGTGGACACGCCCTCGCTGACGTCACCCCGCCCCAGCCCGAGCTCTCCCTCCGCGGGCGAGCCCTGCCGCCGACGCCGCGAGGCTAGGGTGGTGTCTGGCCAATAAGGGCGCGGTCGCCGACAGGTGTGTCCGGTCACGGGGAGCGAGCCGCGCAGGTGGAGTTAGCGCATCCGGCGGAACGCGGGAGCCAGCTCGCAGCCCTGCAGATCGCGACTCTCCTCCTACAGGTGCACGCCCGGCGGACGCCAGCCCTAGGGGCTGCCCGGCTGGGTCTGCGCCGCTGCCAGCCCCCTCAGTGCCTGCCGAGGCGAAGCCCCGTCCGCCTGCTCTATTCCATCAGAACTGTGGGTGCAGAGAACACGCTCATCCATCTTTGGGCCTTGAAGGCTAGGAGATCAAACAAGAGCTCCCCGGGCTGGGCATGTTAGGATCTTACGAAACAATCACCTTCCAGGTGTTTTCACTTCTCTACCTGAACAACGGGAGCACTGGTTATTAAAAACCAAACTTAGCAACATATCTGGACTATTCTTAAAATTTGGGGAGATTGAAGAGCTGAAAGTAACTACTTAAAGTTTTTATAATAATATTTTGATAATAATAATTAAATCTCCAAGAACGTTTAGCCCTCTAACAGTTCCATAAATGTGGGGGCAGCTTGGGTGGCTCGGCGGTTTAGCGCCACCTTCAGCCCAAGGCGTGGTCCTGGGGACCTGGGATCGAGTCCCACATCGGGCCTGCTTCTCCCTCTGCCTGCGTCTCTGTTTCTCATGAATAAGTAAAATCTAAGAAACAAACAAACAAAAAACCCATAAATCTGGGACTATTTTAAAGAGGAGGAAACAAGATGAGAGAATATAACTTTCCCAAAGTCACATAGCCTGTAAGTGACAGAGTTGTGTGTCTCCAGACTCCCAAGTTCTTATCCATGGTGGGCTTGTAGGAATTTGGATGTTAGTCATACCAAGACACATTTTTACCTAAACAACAGAAAATTATCTCACCTGATGCCAACTTACATGCTGCTCTCCAAAATATTTCAGAGGTCTCCATGGCAACATCACAACTCCAAGGAGCTTTAGTATCCTAAGGCAGTTTATTTTTAGAGGATAAATTTTATACCTGTCTCCCCCTGCTGTTTTAACAAAGACATGTCCTGAAGCTTTAGCAAAATAAGAATATTACTGTAAGGCAGTAGTTCTAAAAGTGTGGTCCTCCCGCTAGCACCATCAGCCTTTGCATACTCGTCAAATGGAAGTCACTGACTCAGTAACTCTGAGAGCGGAGCACCAGCAACCTAATTTTTTTTTTTTAATTTATGATAGTCACGCACACACAGAGAGAGAGGCAGAGACACAGGCAGAGGGAGAAGCAGGCTCCATGCACCCGGAGCCTGATGTGGGATTCGATCCCGGGTCTCCAGGATCGCGCCCTGGGCCAAAGGCAGGCGCTAAACCGCTGCGCAACCCAGGGATCCCAGCAACCTAAATTTTAACAATGTCTCCAGGGTCAGAGCTGTAGGGAGTGGTACGGGTGTGGCCAGGGATTCACGGTCACTGATACTCACACTTGTTCAGATCCTTGGGATTAACTTGGTACCTTTTTCCTATCACCACATCCAATTTTTTCCCCTTGACTGTTATCTGACATTGATTCAGGCTCTCCTGGACTACTGCAAAACCTGTTTCTTAAATAAAAAAATAAATAAATAAACTGTTTCTTGAGCACCTACTGTGGGTCACCAGACTGACCTTTCTAAAGTACTACATTAATCCTGCAGGCATTTCAGTGGCTTTCCATTACCTATAGTTTAGTTAGAAATGAATTACCAGCTCCACATTATTAGGGTCCAAGAAGGGGACAGATTGTTATATTACTATTATCCTTTAAAATTCTAATTATTATTACATTTATATGTGGGAGATATTTTAGAATTCATTATTAAAACCCTGAAAAACAAGTGGTCTGCTTTTATTTTCAAAATAGGCATTTATGGGACGTCTGGGTGGCTCAGCAGTTGAGCAGCTGCCTTTGGCTCAGGGCGTGATCCTGGGGTCTGGGATTGAGTCCTGCATTGGGCTCCTTGTGGGGAGCCTGCTACTCCCTCTGCCTGTGTCTCTGCCTCTCTCTCTCTCTCTCTCTCTCATGAATAAATAAAATCTTTTTTTAAAAAGTCATTTATTTTCTTTTTTAAAGTCACTTATTTTCAAAATAAGTTATTAAAGATAATATTCTAAAGTTATAAAAGTCATAGAAAAATGAGTTTAAGTTTTAGAAATTTACTTTAAAATTTATGTTCTGCACCTGGATGGCTCAGCAGTTGTCTGCCTTTGGCTCAGGTGGTGATCCCGGGGTTCCAGGATCGAGTCCCACGTCGGGCTCCCTGCGAGGAGCCTGCTTCTCCCTCTGCATCTATCTCTCACGTCGGGCTCCCTGCGAGGAGCCTGCTTCTCCCTCTGCATCTATCTCTGCCTCTCTCTCTGTCTCTCATGAATAAATGAAATCTTTTATAAATAAATAAATAAAACTTATGTTCTGCTATAGCATAAGTCTAGACCCTTCCTCAGATCCAAAACAAGTTGTTTTGCTTCTCTTCTTCCTTTATTGAAGGACCTAGATATTCAACCTCTTTAATTCAGTGGCTGCCAACACACACTCTATCCTTGATAGGTTGCTGGCAGTGTATATGTACTTGGGGAGTGGGGTGGGGGAGCCAACAGAGTAGGTAAGACCTGATCAAGGTGTTTGCCAATTTCTATGGTGCATATGCCCCCAAGCACCATTGTGATGTCACTGATCATGGAGCTGGGAAAAGGTGCTCATCATATAGTATTTCCATCATGAAATGGAATATAATGATATGATCAATATATATAACCTCAAATAATAGCAAGATATGGTAAAATAATTAGGCAATGACAAGTTTTGAATGTATATTATCTTTGTTTTTAATACAATTTACTTGTAAGTGTATATAATTTTATTTCTAATAATGACAGTATTTAACAACTGGCTGAAAATACTCTTGAAAATTTATTTTTTTAAAAGATTTTATTTATTCATGAGACAGAGAGAGAGAGGCAGAGACACAGGCAGAAGGAGAAATAGGCTCTATGGAGGAAGCCCGACATGGGACTCAATCCTGGGTCTCCAGGATCACACCCTCGGCTGAAGGCCGAACCGCCTGAGCCACCCAGGCTGCCCTACTCTTGAAAATTTAATGATAGGTCTTGCAGGTAGCAAGCATACCACCAGTATGTCACCAGCATACCACTGTTTACTGAAAATCCAAGGGAACTCGAAAAGACTGAACTAGAAATTCTCAAGGGCCAGGATCATAACTCTTTCTACTCATCATTTTATCCCTTCCTGAATACAGTGCTTGGTACAAAACAGGAGCTTGGCAAGTAATAAACCTTCCAGATTTTTATGAAATCCTTACTCATGAGCCTTGATCTATGGCTCTGATGTAGGATGGAAGTCTCCAAAGATTTCTTTCTGGACTTCTACGTTTACATCCTAAAGAACTGAGCTCACCAACCACACCTTTAGACTCTAAAATTTGTAGTCTTTTATTTAAAAAAATTATTTGTTAATCTATTGCCAATACTTACTGAGCAGTTAGTGTGTGCAAAGCACTGTTCTATGTGCTGTTCATAGAGATGAAGACAGATGATAGCTCATCGCTCCCAGTGCTTACACTCTAGTGGGGAAAACAGTCAAGTAATTAAATAATTTCAGATAGTAGTAAATCCTATGGAGAAAATAAAGCAGGGATATGGGACATGAGGTGCTGTTTTAGAAAGGAGTACCAGGAAGACCTCTCCAAACTAACCTTTGAGACAGAAACCTGAATGATGAGAAAGAGCTGGTCATAACAAGTTCTGGGAGTAGAGCCTTCTAGGGTTACAGGAACAGCAAGACCCAAAGCCATAAAGTTGAAATATGCTTGTGGGTCAGAAGAACAAGAATGCCTGTGTAGCCCAAATGGGGGTTTAGTTAATTGAATCAGATTGTTAGACTGTGGGGACAGATCTCAAGAGGCAGAATTGAAGAGCATGAACTTTAGAGGAAGATTTTTTTTTTTTTTACACAAAGGCAGAGGGTTAAATGTTCTGAATCTGTGCTAAGGAGTTGGGAAAATTCAGTCTCTTCTTTCTTGTTTTGCTTTTCTATCCCAGGTCTGGGAGAATTAACATAATAACCCTAGGATACTGTTAAGGTAAGGAAGCAGAGGATGAGTTCTATAGAGGGTAAAATAGTCTGTTTAGCATGCAGTAGAGACTCCAGGTTTCAGTAGGAAGGCTGGATAGAGGGGAATAAAGGAAGGGAATAACTAAGGGACTGATTTCATTGCCTGTCCAACCCACAGTCTGGTCTGGAGGCAGCCACCTGAGCTCCTTACATACTCACCACCCCCACCACCACCACAAACAGAGGGATTTTCATTACGAGCCTTGATCAGTGATAGGGACGTGAAAGCAGAAATATGATTGCCATCAACGTATAAATGAAACTTAGGTATGAAACCTCTTTCAGCATCAGTGGAGGCTGAGGCTACAAGGATGTCTGAACACTTTTTTCTTTGCTGAGGCTCCAAGCTGAAAACAAGTCTTAAGCCCTCTGTACCTGAATGTTGTTATTTGGGATGTTTTATAACCAAACTGACATGAATTCTCTCCTTGGTGAGTCACAGATAGAGACTACACTAGGTGGAGTTGTCACACAAAGGAAACTTTATTTGCAACAAAATAAGGAGATCATGGGGAATGACTTCCAAACTGGGAACTCCCAAGTCGGGATGAGTGGTTTCTTTGATTTGGGGTTAGGATGAATGTTCAGAAAGTGGAGCTTTGTCATTGGGCCTAAGATTGTACAGGTAT